ATGATGCCGTTATCTCGAAATGCCTCGCTGAAAGGGGGTCTGTTAAAGGTGCCTGGAGACCTTGGCAACTCTCTTGCAACTTGTTGAACGGTGGGGCTGCAGGCAGTGGAGATGAGAACCGCTTCAGCTCTGACAGTTTGTGTATGGAAACGGAATGTGGTGTGGTTTTTGGATTTAAAATGGGCAGTTATGGTGGGATTTTAAACGCTTTTTGTGCCAGTGTGACTATTTTAATCCAAAAATGTAGTTTACCTACGTTATATTGTATTTTACAACTGTTTACACTATCATTTTTAATTAAAAGGTACGTGCCGTTATTTCAATTAGGACTTGTAATGAATTTCCTCTTCCTTTTTACGCAAGGTCATGAATACCTTCTTTAAATGGATTTGGCCTTCAGGCGTGATATCGCCTTACATACCTTCATTCCTCTGAGGGGTGCAGATAAACTTGGACCAGGTGCCTTACATAAGACCGTGTGAGCAGCTGAGTTTGTGTAGTCCGAAGTGTGCCAGCGCACTGCGCAGCGCAGACTGGAATTTTCCACACAATTTCGTACTTGATCATCATGTGTTTTTGAGAGTCTCACCTGTAGGCTGACATAAAGTGGGTGGAATGTACAGAATGAGGAGTTGCTCCGTCTGTGCTTTTCCACTACCAGAAGCTTTTCTTGGCATCGCGCCTCCCTTCCTGGGCTCAGGCTGTCCCTCGTCTTTTGTACACTGAGGGAACCTGCGTCACTCCCTGCTGTTTTAACTGAGTATTGGCCAAAGAGCGAAGTTGATAGTTCTGGTTAAGAGGCTATCAAATGACTTGTGACAGGACCTGCTTGTAGACTGGGGGGTTAGACAGGCCGAACGCAAAAATAATGAGGAGCGATAATGATCGTGAACAGTTTCACTTCGCGTGCGCATATCTGCAGTTTCTTCTGTACTAATTTAACTTTAAGGGCGACAATATGTTAGTTAGTAGATATACAAAATATAGGTTATATCATTTGCTTTTGCAGCTTTGTGCAGACTGAAAATTTGCTGTCCTGGTGACAGTTTGAAACTGTGTGACACATTACGCAAAGCTGCTGTGGGATTGCACAAACAAATGTCCAAATAGCATAAACCGGCCTTTGACTGAGTGGTGGTAAAGTACATTCCCCCCCTATTTTTCCGGTTTTTGACGCAAGCACATCTTGAGGTGTGGCCATGACGCCCTGGGAGCGCAACAGCCGCTGATTGGTCGAGAAGTAGGTTTGCTAGAACAAAATGTTTCCTTTGAATGACGCCCATCGGGAGGTGCGTGTGTTTGGGACAGCTCCTCCCTCGCTCCCGGTACGTTATAAAACAAGAGCCACACGCAAGATAACTGTATCTGGTTTTTGTGCAGTTGATCAGTGCAGAGCTGCTGTTTAAACCACCATGACGATCAACACAGGAACAGAAAAGTCTGGCCTAACTTATTCGAAATCTAAAGGATTAATGACTTTAGTTACTGGTACGGGATCATAACTGGTATTTTAAGCTGATTCTTCATGACATGGATGGACATCTTTTTGTTTTTTTGTTTTTTTTAATAAATCTAAATCTTTGTTCTGTTTTTCTTTCATGTGTTGCAGCTTTTATGAAACAAAGGAGGATGGGACTGAACGACTTCATTCACAGGCTTGCCACAAACTCCTACGCCTGCAAGCAGTGAGTACCATCTCACTCATGTTATTGTTCTGCATTCACTGGTGGACAAAACACAAGCAGAAATGCCCTCTGCATATTTTGTGACTCAGTGTGACTCCCAGATCAGCTCAGAAAAACAGAATTCATTGTGATGTTTTTGTTTTTTTGCAGTTCTGAGGTTCAGTCTATTCTGAACTTAAGTCCTCCCCAGGATGCTGAGCTCATGAACACAAACCCCTCTCCTCCTGTAAGTAGATTTGCATTAAACAGTGAACAGTGAGTTGTATTTATATGCTTGGCGTACATTTTTCAGTTCATATTTTGACATTATTTCTTTATCTATTTCTCCTTTGTTCCCCCTCTCACAGCCCAGTCCATCCCAACAGATCAACCTCGGACCATCCTCTGACCCTTCAGCCAAACCCAGCGACTTTCACTTCCTCAAGGTGATTGGCAAGGGCAGCTTCGGCAAGGTCCTGCTCGCACGTCACCGCACAGACGACCAGTTTTATGCAGTCAAAGTTTTACAAAAAAAGGCCATCCTCAAGAAGAAGGAGGTAAATGTACATGCAACGCAGGCTTTCAACGAGATGAACACCCCCAAAGCTATCTCCTTGTCAACTTCTCTAACCTCTCCTGTTTGTGTCACTCAGGAGAAACACATCATGTCAGAGAGGAATGTGCTGCTAAAGAACGTCAAGCACCCATTCTTGGTGGGCCTGCACTACTCTTTCCAAACAGCAGACAAACTGTACTTCGTCTTGGACTACATTAATGGAGGAGAGGTGAGTTACTGACTGAAGTGCTGACAGAAAAGAAACAGGATATGAAGCAGAGATGATAGAGGAGAAGGGAGATGCTGGGCTATTAAAAGAAGGAGCTGAATAAGTAAGGAAGGGGAAGAAGCTTAAAGATGAACATACAGTAGTTAAAAGAAGAAGCTAGTGGACACAACCTGTAAAGTCAGAAAGTTTTTAGAGGAATAATAGAGTGACAGGAATGAGCAAGAGACACAGACAGACAGAGGGGATATCCTGTGATGAGAAGCAGAATAGAAGCTGTCACTCGTTTCTCTAAAGGGAACAGCTCTCAGGAAATTGTGGGAGGGTTAGGGCAGGGGTAGAGACTCTGGGACCAAAATTAGCCGCACCATTCAGACTACTTGTGTTACTTTCCTGCGATTGTTTGACGAGCAAAGACAGTGGTGATTAAATATGGGCCTCATCAGGAAACAGGATGCATTTACTCTCCTTCTTCCCTTTCTCTTTTCATCCTCTCCTTTTTCCCTCTATCTCACTGGTGTCTCGCTCCACCTTTGGCCCTCATTTTATCTGTTTTCTCTTGTTAGAATTTTTAAGCCGTCACCTTCCTGCCTCTTCATTTCCCCCTATTTGATTTCCTTTCTGTCTCTGTTGTCGTTGTTTTGTTGATCTTGCTCATGTCCTATCTCTGCTCACATCTTTCTGACACTCATTTTTTAACTGTTGCGGGTGATCTATAACATAATCTGTTTTAGTTTAACTACAAGCACAGATGGTCTAATCCCTGCTTTTCTTGTTTTCATTGTCTTGCAGTTGTTCTACCACCTACAGAGAGAGCGCTGCTTCCTTGAGCCTAGAGCCAGGTTCTACGCTGCAGAAATTGCCAGCGCCCTGGGCTACCTCCACTCCCTCAACATTGTCTACAGAGACTTGAAGCCAGAGAACATCCTGCTGGACTCCCAGGGACACATCATTCTCACAGATTTTGGCCTGTGCAAGGAGAACATCGAACCCAACGGGACCACGTCAACTTTCTGCGGTACGCCAGAGGTAAGGATGAGATCTCCAGTGATTTATACCTCCATTGTTTCTGTGTTCTGACAGTGTTTGGTAATGTTGAGTTTAACAACTCATAGCCCCTCCCTGTCCATTTCTCTCTGCAGTATTTAGCTCCAGAGGTGCTGCACAAGCAGCCATATGACAGGACAGTAGACTGGTGGTGTTTAGGAGCTGTTCTTTATGAGATGCTCTATGGCCTGGTGAGTAACATTTACATTACATAATTCTAAAGCTACAGCAGAAAAATTAAAGTAACTACTGAGTTATACTGGACATTCATACATTTATGTTGCACATTTGTAATTTCTCAATGATTTATGTAAAATGATCCAGTCTGCATTTGTCATTTGGATTTCCAGCTCCTTATTGTTGCCAAGATGCTAACCAGTTCTTTTTGTCCCCTTTCAGCCTCCGTTCTATAGCCGTAACACAGCAGAGATGTATGACAACATCCTGAACAAACCGTTGCAGCTGAAACCCAACATTTCCAACTCAGCCCGACACCTGCTGGAGGGCCTGCTGCAGAAGGACCGGACCAAGAGGCTGGGCTGCGCAGATGACTTTGTTAGTGTTTGATTAGATGATTCTATCCATGTATCTGTATGGTTATTTATATATTATGTGTGTTGAATGACATAGTTTCATTTGGGCTCTTTTTAGGTTGAAATTAAGAACCACGTATTCTTCTCCCCCATCAACTGGGATGACCTCAATGCCAAGAAGATCACCCCGCCCTTCAACCCCAATGTGGTACGTTACTTTTTAATACTTCCATAGTGTAATATTTATGATTTCTACAGTAAAATAGGCAGACTACAGACTTGCTCATTAGCCTTAGTTATTACAATTTATATTTACATAACTAGATGAGGAATATAGAACATCCTTGCCCTGAATGAAAACATTAGCAATTATGCTAGGTGTTTTGCAGCCTAACTAATCCAAAGATTTCTCCCCTCTATCCCCCAGACGGGACCCAACGACCTGCGGCATTTTGATCCAGAGTTCACTGATGAGCCTGTGCCCAGCTCCATCGGCTGTTCCCCAGACAGTGCACTAGTCACAGCCAGCATCAAAGAGGCTTCTGAGGCCTTTGTAGGCTTCTCCTATGCCCCTGAAATGGACTCTTACCTATAGGGTTTAAACACAGGCATTCAATGGACACAAGATTAGACTTAACAGGACATGAACATGTGGTGTTGCCATGGACTTGCATCTTGAACCCACCCTACATTTCCCAATCAGGATGATGGATATTTCCAAAGCAACCCTGCAACACCCCTGCATTATACATGTGTACTTGCCATAATCTCTCCAGCTCGTGAATGCACTGAAGAAGACTTGCTACAAGTGGATGTCTGCCATTTGAATGACCCACGGGGGTTGTAATCCTCCTTCTTACCCTGATTTACCAACGCACAAATTCTTCAACCTTCCACAGTGGACACAAACCAAGATCCCTCTTCAGCCTTCATTTACCCACTTTTAAACTAATAGTGGAAGTCCTTTGCACATAGCTCAGGCAGCTTAAAAGCCCCCCTCAAATGACAAGCACACACACCAACTTACACCTTTTCTCAAAACAGGAAGGCTAGATCATACCATACCAGTCCTGAAAAGGATCTTTATCTATGTAGCCAAACATCTCCCCTCTTTTGAGATCTTGTCTACCATCCTCGAAGACCCATCTGTTGCATCTGAATGAGTAGCTTGGAGTAGACATTCATTTTGGTGCTTTAGTTGCTTCTAATTTCCTTTCTGTGTATAAAGGGGAGTCATTTGAGGCTGAATGTTACAGAGGGGGACATTTTATTTCACTCAAAGGTGCCTTTGTTTTTTCTTTCCATCAGAACTCATATCTTTTGAGTTTATCTGTGTCAGCCTTAATGTCACCATTTCACCCGCTCCACACCTGGCTGCAGGTGGGAGGATGTGTGTTTTTTTTTGTGTCACTTTGTCACTAGAGAGGAAAGATGTAGCACTAAATAGATACACCTGCTCTGTCTTTAACACGGGGGACACAGGAGCTCAGATGATCTTTCATATCTTCATTTGCACATAACAGTTAATGCTGTTAAAGAGAGAAAGAGGAGGGCACTGCTGCTAGGTGAGAAAGAGGGATGTGTTCAGAGGTGTTTGTGTAGTTCTGCTTGCCAGCTGCATCCTCCTCATATAGTCTTCCATTTGTCTCACAATAAGGTAATGGTGGCCTGCAGACAGGCTGGCACAGAAACTGAACATTCCATTTTAATATTGCTGTAATGCAGTTTGACGGTATTTAAGTTTGTTTGTATATTTGGAGTTGTGTGTACTAATTTTAATTATATTGAACAAAAAAAGACTACAGGTATGCTTAAATATGTATATGTAACAAGTCATGTCAAATGTACTGTAAATTGTAAAATTGTTTAAGATTTATGTGACCATATTTGGTTTGCAATAAAAGTTTAACTTTATTACACCTTACAAACTGGTAGATAAATTGGTCTTATTTATATGTAATAATTTCATTTAATTGATTTTCCTTTAGTCTGAAAAATGCAGGTTAAGTTTTTTTTTATAGTCTTATCTTGACTTTAGAGCAAATATGTAACCATGTTTGTAGAAAATAAACACATCAAACCATTATTTATACAGTTAGAGAGTAATTTAAAAAATGTTAAGAATGACAATCACATGTTAAACATTTACTTCCTGGTTGGAAGACACCTGATCTTCTGACCAAAACCAAATGTCCTACAAAGGTGCAGGACAGATTTTAACCCCATGTGTCAGCAGCCTTGCACAACAATGACTGTGACATCCACGTGGGTGTGTTTAGTGTGTGTGTATGTGTGTGCGTGTATTTGGCATACTCACATTATGGGGCCTGAAACCTGTTTACACACTCACACTGTGGGGACTCGACTTGGTTAGGTGTTAGGCAAGTAGTGTTTATTGTAAAGGTTAGGGTAAGTCTCCAGGAAATGAACTGGAGTCAGTGTACAGGTCTCCACAAGGAATGAAAACAAACATGTGTGTGTGTGTGTGTGTGTGTGTGAGTGTGAGTGTGTGTGTGCGTGTGTGGACACGTGTTTATTGGTGACACTAGAGAATGTCCTACTCGAGTTCAAGGTTGTTTTCATGATCAAGTGCGTCTTTGAGGAGGGCACTGAGCGTCTACCAAATCCAGGAGGTTTAATTGTGTAAGTAACCTCTGACCTGCAATTTCCTGGGAAGATGGGAAAATCAAAAATGAAACAACCCTGCACAAGAATTTACATTATATACAGTATGTGAGGAAGGTGTCCTGGTTGAGACTCATAAAATGTTTAACTCTCTGGGCTACAGTTTGACATTGCTGGTCTGAGATGTTGCTTGTAAATATAGTAAATCTCACTCAAATGGCAACAGAATGATTATCACCTGAACTATAACTCATTCCTCAGTCATGAACTCTTATGTACTGTCTCTGTCTGTCTGTAAAAATGTATTGATGTGCTACAGTATCCTAGTCATGCACAGCCATCTGTTGGCAAGATTTTGAACTGCTAAAGTGAACCAAAAGCGGTTGCTCACATTATTTTTAAGGCTGCCAAAATGCAGACAGCAGTGACTTTGATAGTAGCTTGCAAAATAATTAAATGGACAAAACCCACTGAGATGTGGACAGGTGGAGACAATGAGAGGGGCCTTGAGCAGATGATTTCATGACAGTAAAACCTTTGCTGCGGGAGAAAATTAAAGCCTTTGATATGTAACTGACATCACTGCCATTTTATTATTCCCTATAATGATCTTTATGATGGGTTATGATGATGGTAAAAGTAATGGTTACCAAAGCTACCAATTTTCCACCATCATAACCCATCCTGTGCTGACCCAGTCAGGCATTCTGAGCTTCAGGGGTCTGCACTCAGCATTCTTCAGCTTTGCCAGCAGTGCTGATTTTCTTTAACATGTGATAACACAGAAAACTTCATCTGTATCTGTGTTGTATATAGTTTTGTTTAATTTGTAGCTAATGTTTGGTTTATGATGACATTAAGTTGTGGACAGTGTTGAAAAGTATGGGAAAATTTGAAAACATGAACATTTTTCTTACAATGTCAAAATAGAGTAAAGATTTTAAAGGAGGCAACTTTTTTTAGGCATTTTAGCTTTTCTGTAATTTGTATATTTATATTGTATCATCTCCAAATAATCATTTGTATTAAGATAGCTCTGTTGGTGCAGACAGTATTTAATCAATGGTAAAGTGTTATATTAACAAGTTTTTTGTTTGTTTGTCTGCTTGTTTGTTTTGCATTCAATGTTGATTGTATGCTCACTCAATGAACTCATGGTAGTAGCTTTGGGGTTTTGCTCAAGGACACTGACAAGAGGAGCCATGTTCTGAGTCAGCAACCCTGGGTCAGCTGTGCTACTGCCACTGATCCTCTGGCTCTGGGGCAAATATTCAGATGTACTAAACTTACAAATACACTGGCCTAGCATTAAACACTTTAAGCCATTTGTCTGCTCATATTTGTCTTTGTGACAAGTGACTTACTGAGTCAGAATCCTTAAAACCCTGGTTTTGGTACTATTAATGGCCGCATTTTGTCAGCTATAATCTTCCAATGTATTGACAGTTTGAGCTATAATTAATTTTCTGTATGGTCATTTTCATTGCTAGCAGTGGAGTCTACCCATCCTGAGCTCAAATTGCCCAAACTACAGAAATGAACCATGTAGCTTTTCTTTTTTTAATCTGCACAAACTGTCTTCACCACATGACAACCCAGAGGGTAAATATATATGAAGCATTTGCTCCCTCAGGCAGCAGAACCTAATATTAGCACTGCCATTTGGTATTATTATAGCTAGCTAGCTTGTGAATTTTACACCAAGGATCAATAAGTCTTATGATTGTACAGTACAGTACTGCATTTTGCTTTATTAGTCTGATCAAATAATTTAGTAAGTACAAAGTACAATATTTTTCTCAAAGTTGAAGTATGAAGTAGCAGAACATGAAAATACTCAAGTACAAATACAGATTCATACAGTTTTTTGTCATGATGTTTGAATCAAAAGAAGCAGTATCAGCCCCTTTTGCAGAAACCTCATTATGCATAACTTTCAGTCACTGTCACAGGCTCTGCTTTTGTCTGGGGAAGTACATATAACCTTATTTATACTCCAAATTGCACAACATTAAAACATTTACCAGTGTACAATTAAAATTAAGTATTAAAAATATATGGTGAATAAATGTTGTTAGGCCTAACAAGTGTCTACAGTGCAAGAGCTCACTGACTCACTTCCTCAAGATGGCACTGGTTTCCTTCCTTCTAAGTCTTCCCTTCTTCACTTCTACACATTTAGTAGCAGCAGCTAAGACAAGATGGTTTTACTGTGAATTTTAAGTGA